GTGCAGATTTCGTGGCAGCCACAGCACTGTGTGAACCTCGAGGTGCAGATTTCGTGGCAGGCGCAGCACTTTGAGGTGCAGATTTCGTGGCAGGCGCAGCAGTTTGTGAACCTCCATGTGTAGATTTCGTGGCAGGTGCAGCACTTGGTGGACTTAGAAATGCAGATTTCGTGGCAGCCACAGCACTTGGTGAACATCGAGGTGCAGCACTTGGTGGACTTAGAAGTGCAGATTTCGTGGCAGCCACAGCACTTGGTGAACATCGAAGTGCAGATTTCGTGGCAGGCACAGCACTTTTGGTGAACCTCGAAGTGCAGATTTCGTGGCAGGCACAGCACTTTGTGAACCTCGAGGTGCAGATTTCGTGGCAGGCACAGCACCTGGTGAACCTCGAAGTGCAGATTTCGTAGCAGGCACAGCACTTTGTGAACCTCGAAGTGCAGATTTCGTGGCAGGCACAGCGCATGGTGAAACTCGAAGTGCAGATTTCGTGGCAGGCACGAACCTCAAAGTGCAGATTTCGTGGCAGCAGCAGTGTTTTGTGCTCTCTTGCAGGACATGCTCACTCTCTCACTCTCCCACTCTCACTCTCCCACTTTCACTCACACTCACACTCCCTCACACTCCCACTCACTCTCACTCACACTCGCACTCACACTCAGTCTCCCACTCGCACTTACTCTCATCCACACTCACTCTCACTCACACTGGCACTCACTCACACTCACTCTCCCACACTCACTCACACTCACTCTCACTCTCACCCACACTCACTACCACCCACCTTCACTCTCACTCACGCTCACTTAGACTCACACTCACTCTCACTCTCACTCTCACCCACAGCCTTTCATTTTAAGATTTCTTGTGTACTGCAGACCTGCGCGCTACGTCGCCATTTGTCGTTGGATATCGACTTGAACTTTTGACCCCACTTCCGTTTGAGGACCTCCAGGCTTCTTTGGTTTTCATTTGATCTCGTTAGGATTTGGATACTCAGATTAGCGTGTGGCAAACCGCATCAAATCAGAACGCAATTCCATAAGTGTGTCTGACCTCGTGCCAGCCTAAGGTAAGCCCGCAGAGTGCCTCCTGTGGACCCGTCGAACGGGGGTTTTGTCGAATGCATCCCCTACCCGAACACAGAGCAGCTCGCGCTCACTCTCACTCACGCTCGCGCTCACACTCTCTCTCCCACTCTCACTCACACTCACACTCCCTCTCACCCACACTCACTCACACCCACCTTCACTTCATCACCACCATCACTCTGGACCCCAATGCGTCTAGATCTCTAGACTTTCTGCTTACAGATCTTACACGCACTGTTTGGGGTCTCTTGCCGGGACAATTTTTTGATTGCCTTTTTTTGGTCCCCGTGGAAGATTTTTTGTGATTACCTTTTTGTATTTTTTTTCATCCCTCACCTAGGGATTGGATGCTCCTACGGCAGCTTGGACAACAACTTCCCAGCGGTGCTCCCTCGGGTCGAAGAAATCCGGCTCCTCCACCTACGGACCACCGAACTCCACGAACACCAGGGCACAGTGGAGCACGCTTGCGCTTCGCACTTGGATGTCGTTGGCCTGTGCCCTTTCCACTTGCCGTCGCTGCTGTCTTGAGTAGTACCGCCGATATTGCCCCGAGTTTATTGTAGCTTTCTTCCATTCATTGGCTGGTTGGGATTGCCACCATGACATCCATGCAGTTTTTGATCCTGTCAGGAGAGATCGTCGCACTCGACCTAGGTGTATGGTCCAATGCAGCAGCCGGCAAAAGCCCGTTTTGGAGGGGATTCGTATCTCCGTGCTATACAGGTGTTGATGCTGAGAAGTCAGTTTTCTCCACACATCCTCGCTTGTGGGCCGATGGTGGGAGGAAAGGACTCCACATAGCGCAGGCAACCGACGCCGATCTGGTAGATCGCATGATGGAGACAGGTGGCAAAAATTTCTAGGCATCTCCCGAGTGGTGGCTGCTGCTTGACACTGCGCACGCCAAAGCATGTCGAGAAGCCAGCGACAGGAAAATCAATTTTCACTACATCCTCCCCGTCCAAATACACGCTCCCACTGCTTGCCTGCTGGTGCTGCTGTTGCTCCTAAGCAGCCAAGCTCTATCTAAGCTCTATACCGTATACCTTTCGTCCACCTCCATAGCCGCAGGTAAAGTGGACCTTACTTCAAGTATATCTCCATACCGCCCACTTGATCCCACTTCATTGAAATCTCGATGGTAAGCTTTGACCTCAACGACCACAGTGCATAGAACGAAACCGCCAGTGTGCTTCCGCTAGCTTTCGACCCCCTCCCCCCTGCCCTCAAGTGTTTCTTTGGTGCCGTCATGATCCATGTCCTTGCCGCACAACTAGGTTTCGATACAGTAGTGCCAGACAACTAGCATTCCGTACACTTTACATTATGTATATGTTTCAACGGATGGTGACCGGGTCACCAATGCACCAACAACAACACATCCAGCTTTTGGTAAAGAATGCTGGCTTTGGACATTCGTCTCTGTCAGATGTCGATCCCTGATCATTTTCCTATTGCAGGTCTCCTTTATTCTTATGGGTTGCTAAACCTTAAAGGTCACGACTGCTGACCTCATCCAAGACAACTTAGAGTGCTCGTATTTTGCCCTGCCCAAGAATCCACACAGCCCAAAGTAGAACGCATCCCCTTTGTGTAGGAATCACGGCAGAGTCAAGCAGCTCTTCAGCTCTCCTTTTTCATCTTGCGATTGACCGACTCCTTGGCTCCACGCTGCAGTCCAACCCTCCTGAGCCGGCTTGTGTTGATGCTTTCCCGGACACTATCTCAACCTGCCCAGTCTTATTTTGGCAGATTGCGGATCCATTTGTCTTGCACGACTCGATCAGGGCCTTTGACAAAGCAGAGCCGATCGTCAGCTGGACATTACTACAGGACAGCTGCTTTCGACAGGTGCTCGGACGACTCAGGTATATATACGCCATGCGGCGTACACTGGCCACATGGGACAAGGGACGAGCCAATTAACAGGTTTGTTTTTGGCCAAAGATATGTCCCTTTTCACTGGCACCCTCCAACGTCCCGGCTGCATGTCAGAAGGCCTACATGGTGGACTTGGAGGCTTTGCATCGGTTACTTTCAAGCTTCGTCTTAGTTCTCCTCGGCCCGTCTGCTTCTGAATTTTGGTGCCTCGCCAGCATTGCTCCTGCGAGCACATCCATGCTGCGTGGCTCCACGGCGGCCATATCACCACGACTGTTTCGCGCCTCCCACTCGGCCACGGTGCTTGATGGCACACAACCCGCCGCCAACAATTCTCCGACCCGTGCCAGCTCCTCTGCAAGGCGCGCTGCCTCCAACGTGGGCGGGTTGGGTCGACGGCCTCTGGGCTATTTTGCAACAGCTTGGACTTCAAGCCTTTGCTCCCATCTTCCAAAAAGAGGAGCTCAGTGTTGAGGTGCTTGCCACATGGAATTTACCTACTGTGAAAGCCTATATTCGTGATTTGCTTGGTGGCCTGGCCACCCAACTCCTGGAGCATTGCAAAGTGCCTGCCTCAAGCGGCTTCCGAAATTTATCGCGTTCTCAACTGCTGTGTTCCCCGTTATTCCTATAGCATCAGGCTCATATGGTGATTCTGACCGGAACCCAGCCCAGCCGATCAGGACCATGGTTCGCTTTCAGCTTGCTTTTTGATTTGTGCTTATACATTTTCCTGTGCTCCATGAGAGAAGGCACTGTCAAAAAGTTGCCCGTGCGCAGGACTCGCAGGACTTCCAGCACGAAGACCAGTCCAAGGCGCATTGATTGTAATGAGGCTGTCCATTGTTTGTTGTTATTGTATTTCACGGGGATCCGATGCGCAGCGGCCCCAAGAAGAAGACAATGATGAAGAGGACAATGATGTAGACACAGAGGCCCACACCTACCTGTTGACGCATGCGCTGCAAACATATTGCTTTTTCTTCTCGTCGCTTCGGATTAATTCCACTCGTCTTGTCCCATCTCGCTGCGCAGGATGCAAGGGAAGCTGCGCACGAAGAAGACAAAGGAGAAGAAGAGGAAGGAGGTAGCAACCAGCGCAAAAGGCCCGTGCCTGTTGACATATGCGTCACACTATTGCCAGGTGATTTTGTGGATGAAGATGATGAGGCCAAGACCCAATCTCACTATCACTCACAAAGCGTCTTGTGTGTTGGGAGGTTGGGGAAGCAGCCTTCTTGCAGGCTGGCTTTGTATCCCATATCGCTTTCACTCCCCTTAGTCTGCTTCTGGCCAGGATGTCGCCTCCAACGTTGCTCCTGTAGAGGCGCGCTGGCACTCGTACCTGATCCCATGCCTTGCTGATAGCCCTGGCTCTTCCCAGGATGCGCTACCCTGTCATGATGCTGATGTTTCAGCCGCGAGCTCGTCCAGAGATGTTTGCAATGGATTCCTGCCATCCGTGTCCACGCCAAGGCATCTGCTGCTTCAGTAAGAAAACCACGGACTATGAGCGCTTGGCCGCTGCTGGGCTCCTGAGGAAGCCACTGAAGGAGAGATGGAGCTTTTCAGACCCAACACGACTTTGTTTTAGAGTGATCAATTGGCCCAACACGCTGAAAAAGACAGGGACCTCTTGCTAGGAAGCAGTCACAGATGCTTTTCAGCTTATGGCGCATGAGCCCCGTTTGCAGGGGTACAAGAAAAGCGGCTGACCGTAGCGCGCGGTGAAAAAGATCCTGTACGGCTGCGGCACTCTGCATCCATTAGAAATAGACTGGTCCACCACATCTTTTATCCTGAGGAGATTCCCATCCAGGCACCTTCCGATGCTGCTACACCCATTCCAGAAACAGTTATTGAAGCAAGCCTACAACAAAAGAAGGCCCAACACTTCTATGCTTTGAGCGCTCTGACAACGCCATGTACGAGTGTCAGTCGATCATTTGCGTGGCTGTAGTCTAGTGGCAATAAACGATTGACACACAGTATATATATATATTTATAACTATTTTATATGTCCCAAGCAGTCCCACCGCCCCAACTGATTGGCAAATATATCGCAGTCCCATGGAGTGTTTGGGCATGTTTGGGTGTTTTTCTCCTTGTTTGTTTCCTTTTTCAGAGACATGCTGCAGGTTTTTCCCACTGAGCCGATGGCTCGCTCACCGAACTACTCGCTCACCGAAGCCTCCGAGGCAGAATTAGAGGCTGCGCTGGCACCCTTCTCAGCACCTGAGGCCATGCCCAGTGCGGGAAGACAGACAGACGTTGGAGGAGGGCGATTGATTATTTTGTTTGTTTCGCCCAGATACCGTTTCACCGCTTCGGACAATCCTGGAAATCATACCTGGACCCTCGAACTTGCACACAACTCCTTCAATTAATCGTGTTCTTTGTTTTTTTGGTTTGTTGCTTGGAAGTGCCTACGTAAAATTTCTGGTTCGTTGGGATTCCGCCTATTAAACCAGTCCCAGACAACCCATGAAACTGGAATAGTTAGTTAGAGGTATATACATACCCTTGGGGTTATCTTCATAGATTGGGTAAACAATTGCTAATTGTATAACATGTCCAAACTTTTATTCCTGTCCCACGGATGGTGAACACTAATGGTCATAGGCTTCCCAACCAAAACATCGCTGCTCCCATCCTTTCGGGTTCCCATCCTTTCGGTCCGTTTACACTTGGAGGACTGGGTGTCTCAGAAACTTGAATGATTTTCTTGAGTATCTAAAAAGTGCTTTTGTTCAGATCATTCAAGAACCCACCCGATTTCAGGCACGTGGCCATTATACTGCAAAACGCGCTAAAGGGTGGAAGTCGCTATGGAATTAATGGTTTAATCTTTAAAGCAATTCAAGCAGTGTTTTCTACTCACCAACGAATATTGCAAGGTAAATCAAACAATAAAACAAAGCATGTAATTTCCGCGATTGAAATGCAACTCGTGTCAACTTGAGATCACCATAGAACAATGACCTTCTAAATTGATGGACAGGGAGGAAGAGGGGGGATTCGAGCCCAAGCAGCCAAATTCTTGCTTCAGATGCAATTCCACATTGTTGAAAAGCCGAGCCAGGCCAGAGGGGAGCAGGCGTAAATGCCCTGACGTTGGGCCTTGGAACATGCAACAGCGCAGGCCTATAGGACACGCAGCGGCTACTTCGTGGCGCGTTAGAGGGGAGCGGCCTTCAGTATTCCACACCGCTTCCAGACATCAGTCCACTCAGCCACTCAGCAGTCGGCCGCCATGGCCTCATACGATGAGGCCTGGTGGTCAATATTGAAATGATTAAAGTTTTCAATGTGTTGTGACGTGTTGTGTACTTCAACGCTGCATTGTTTTCATAGTGACTGCTTTGTGTAACAATGGATGAGCCTATTCCAAGGTGCCTGAAGGCCAACCAATGTTCCAGATGCCTACAAGCCGGTGACAGCCATTTGGCTTACAGTATACGCTTCCCAGCACCAAAAATTGGCGCAATGATTTCCAAGAACGTGCGTCTTATCTTTGAGTTCTATGTGAAGTCTGTGGGGGCCATGAATTTGGAGTCAGGTTTAACCATGTTTCATTCTGTGAGAAGAACCGTCTGTGCCAGAATCGATTGGCTACTTCCTTCTCGCGGTCCTGTGTCTCAAGGACCAGTTCCACCTGGTGGATGGTGCAGCAAAGCAGCTGCTTTGGTTCACATGGATGTGAAGGGGCATGCTGAGCTGCTTGCCACCAACCTGCAGATGGCTGCGCAGCCATCCAAGTCTGCAAAGGGCCCTCCAGAAGCTGGAGAAGGACTGTGGATGTGTGGGCAGCAAGGTCTACAAGCGCTATATTTGAGTGGTGAGCTGCTGAGACCTGACTGAACAGCTGGCTAAAGGCCACAGCCCCTGGAATGAAAAATGAGTCGTTGCAGCTGAGCTCAATAAAGTCTGAGAGCGATTGACGGTACCCTGCGATGGAAACGACTGGTTTCAGGAAGAGTGCCACTACACGCCATTTGCCAGACTTCCACAATGTGTTGGATGCCATCCCTGTACAGGCCAAGCCACGCTGCCAGGACAAGGCGGGGTGCCGCGAGATCTGCGACCCAAGGTCGACAAAGTGCGCCCGCCACGAAATCTGCACTTCAAGGTTCACAAAGTGCTGCGCCTGCCACAAAATCTGCGCGTCGAGGTTCACAAAGGGTTGCGCCTGCCACGATTTCTGCAACTCAAGGTCCGCAAAGTGCTGCGCGCGCCACGAAATGTGCACTTCAAGGTTCACAAAGTGCTTCGCCTGAAACGAAATCTGTGCACAAAGGGTTGCGGCTGCCACGAAATCTTCTTGGAGGCGCATTACAAAGGCTGCAGTGCAAAGACCTGCCGGTAGGTTTTTTGGGCACAACAGTGAAGGCCGCCGCTACCAACCGCAAATTTACGTTTATGCCGGCGCGGACGGTCTTTGAACAGGCTTGCCCTCCCTAAACCGGCCGTTTCCAAAATCAAGCTTCCCAAGTTCTATTCTGATTGAGGGTTGGCGTGAGTGCAACACCTGGCTGGCAATCAGGGGAGCTTTGGGTGGCATGCGTGCAGACCTCAACAGTATACCCTAATAGGGCAGGACGCCACTGTACATAGTAAAGTGCCTTGGGCTGTGTTTAGGCTACTCGTGACTGGACAGGCTTGAGCAACATCTTGTGATGTGATGTTAGCAAAGTTAAAGACAAAAGACAAGAGCAACAAAAACGATGAGTGCAAACAGAAAAACAACAACCGACCAAGACGAACAGAAGGCAAAAGGAACCTTGAATACAACATAACTTTAGCCCACGATGTTCACAAAAGCTGCAAAACAGATGACAAAAGGCAACAAAGATAAAACACAATATACTGCGAATCAGTAGAGAAAATTAACGTACATCAAAGTAGGAACGAATCGGGCAACAAAGAAATCCAAAGACTATGAAAGAAAAATAAACACCTAGCAGCAGAGGCCGAAATAAGCTGACCTTCTGTGGATATCTTCCTGGATTTTTTCACAGGATGGATGGCATCAAGTGTCTTAGCCGCAGTACGAAAGAACATCGAACCAAAGTTGAAGAGAAACACAGACTTCATGGCAGGGCAAATGTCAGAACGCTTGCCCAAAAACACGCCAAAACGCACTCCAGAACATTCTTGAACCTTTATGATAGATGATGTGTCAGAGCACATGCCATGCTTGGACAAGTGTCAGAACATTGCATCAGGGCTTCATCAAGGCACCTGTCAGGCCTGTCAGTACATGTGTGTTGCCTTCTTCCAAGCCGCCTGTCGAGGAGGGATCGCTCGAAATAAGGTATGTTTTGTTTTTTCTTGGAAATTTTTGCGCATGATCGGTCTTAGTTGTTCCTTCTTATCTTTCTTATCATGTTTTATAACATTTGGCCCAACAAAAGGCGCGTAAGTACCTGAAGCAAGCAGGGGTCTTCACAATTTTTGTATGTATGTTGCACCTTGTAAGACACACGCAAAGAAAATGCAAAACACCACAAATACCAATTAAAAAAAAAAACAATTAAACACAAAACAAAACAGTAGATTCTTCAAAACGCAAAAGGAAAACTGACATTACGGTCTTGCCAGGGTCCTTGAAGAAGTCACTGATTGGTGGCCGTGTTCTTTTTGGTCGAGAAGACAAAGCCCTGCTTGCGGCCAGGCAAAGAAAGACCACGAGGCGAAGAAGGACCACGAGGCGAGGTATTTCAACAGGGAAAATTTTTAGCAATGAGGAAAAAAACATGTTTTTTTTTTCACATTTTAGATTTTGTAATTGGAATGACCCAGTGGATGTAAATGAAAGTACATGTGATCACTCCATGTTCCTTGTCATGGCTGGGTGTATGTTTGGAGTTCCGATCACCTGGTTGAACCGTTCAGTGGATCACCTTGATATTTTTTGGGAGGGATTTGGGTACACCACTCAAGGTGGAAAGTTCGGTTCACCAGTTCACCAGACCTCCGCTTGCTGGGGTGGAACCCTGTCTCCTGGTCGTGCGCTGCGGCGGCTTGGCACCTGGAGTTGCTACAATTCGACCCGAAAAACGGCGAGAAACCGCCAGGCACTCCTTGGGAAAACTTCGATTCATTACAACTCGTCAACTAGTCGACCTTTGGATTCGGGGGTGCCTTTCCAGCACCCAAACACTCCATGGGACTGTCATATATGCCGATCAGTTGGGGTGGTTTTGGGGGTCAATGTAGGCATATATGGCATACATGGAGTGTCTGGGGCATATACGTATTTGAACCACACACCCATCCAATGTGTCGAACACATGATTTGTACTATAGCTATATAGATTCTATAGCCCTGCTATGCGGTCAAGTCATCATCAAATCACACTCTTTGGGGGGCATCACCGTGGCGTACGGAGGAACTCGCATCACCAAGGTCGCCAACCGAACAGATGCACGATGTCCAACTGTCCAACACGGTCTTGATTCGGCATGATTCGCCATGTGCAGTTGTTCTTCTTTAGTGCTCCTTCTTTGGGGTGAACGTGGAGAAGAACCCGGAGCAGACTGAGAAGCTCAGCCACACCAGGCAAAGTTCACGGGTGTTGGGCTACTCCAAAAGCAAGAATTCCCTGTACAGGTCCAGTCTGACCCAGTAAAACCATGTCAAACAATGCAAACCTCATCGAGTAATTATAGTGCTTTAATATTATGACCAACACCACCCAGACGCGACCCCTTCACAGCCTTTTCCTGGCCCCTCAAAACCAAGGATTGGTGAGAAACCTCGGACCCCTCCAGAGGATGAGGGTCCAGGGTCGCGTTTGGGCACAATTCAGTTCCTGATCCGCTTGGCATTGTTTCGGCAACTGAGCAGCTGGGACTGACGTCATGGGCAGGAGAAGAAAGGGAAGGACGAGAAAGAGGCGGGGCTCGGACGTTGGTGTTTCTTCTCCGAGCTGTTTGCCATCCAAAAACTCTCCCAGTTTCATGCCATTGCTTCTCGCCCCTGCCTCCGTCTTGAAGCCACACGTTGGTCACACGGTCGACCGGCGGTGCCTGGAACTGGACACCGTCGATCTTGGAATTCCGAGGTTCCATCGTCCACTGGGTGGGTCCACCTCAAAAAGACCCACCCCAACAGTCAGTGTGGGTTCCATCGTCCACCTCAAAAAGACGGTGGGTCCAACTGTCAGTGTGGGTTTTAAAACAGAAGAAAGCGAACTGATTCAGAGCTGCTGAAGAGGTAGATCCGACGACCCGACCATCGGGAATCGGTCACCTGTTTAGAAGCTACGGTTCAACGAGCGAACTTGAGGTCGGAAACTGGGTCAGGTCTGAGAAGCCTGGTGTACTAAATCCACCTACAGTAACAGCATTCCTTTCTTGGGATTTTTCTCACCCACCCAGTGAAGCCGACGTGACAGCTTTTGTGAAACACATGCTTCAGCACAATTCACCTGCACTGGTGCAGGTGCTCGCGTCAAGTGACATGTGGGCAGAGGACATATCATTCAAATCCCAAGCTAAGTGAAAGGTTAGTTTAGTAACAATGTTCGCTACTAGGAACAAGTGCATCGCTACTAGTAACAAGTGCCTTCCTAGTAGTAACAAGGTTCGCTATATAGAAACAAGAAAGCTATTCACTCCCACGGGCTGATCATGTTGGGGGTATGTTAGTAGGGGGGTCTGGCTGGGGCGACAGGTCGTGTCTGGAGGAACAAACACCAGGTCGTGTCGAGAACACCCCTGGAGACTTAGAACACAGATGCTCAAGCAGGAACAAAGCATAACCGTGTCTCCCTGCTCACCGTACCTCAGGTTCGGTATGTGGATAGGGATATGGGAGTTGATGAAGAACATGCTCCATGCTCCTATCTAGCTAGCCCATGCTAGCTAGGGGGATTGATCCTCGAGCCGTGATTGAGCTTTCTGGTCCTGGAAGATCGCTTGGGAGCGGGGAAGACCAAGCAGCATGATGCTGCATGATGCTGCAGTGAAAACCGATCTGTCAGGCAGTTTCAGTGGGACAAAGTCTAAACTCATTTCAAGAAGATCAACGAGCAAGCAAAACAACACATTCAACATGAACGCCCCAAAAAGATCAGGTGGAATCCACCCAAAACATCCCATTCCCCCGTTGAAAAACGAGAAAAAGAAAACAACCGCTGAAAAAACGCGATGCATGCGCCATTTTTGGGTGCGCACTCGCTAGGCCAAGAAGAAGAGCCCCTCGGCCTTCCAACCGGGACGGTTCCCTTCGCGGATGAGGGGAATGGCCACGATTCGTCGATTCCAAAGAGAGACGTCGGCGACCGGAGGAAGTCGGCTCGTTTGTGGCTCGGGTGTCCTGATTGACGCGTTTGCTTTCCAAAAGACTTTTTCGAGACACGTGGTACTGCCTACACTGCTGCCACACCAAAAGCTTACTGTACTCGTACCCACGTTTTTGGCTACACTGCTGCCACACTTTCACCTCTCTTTTGCCACACTATAGTTGTCACGTTGGCAATGTGTCATTTGCCACAGTGACCTCCATCATTTGCCACGCTGTTCTGTGTCCTTTGCTATAATCTATTGATCAAATTTCGACAAGCAATGCTTTCGATGGGCAATTTTGCAAAGCCTTGACCTGCCATCCTGAATCCAATGACCAGGCTCAATCGTCCATTGTGATCTTCCGCCATCCATTCGCCGGTGCTCCGCCCCCTTTGTTTTTGTTTTGACTTGCATGTTCTACCATAACCCAGACACTCCATGTATGCCATATATGTCTACATTGGGGTGGTTTGGGGGGTCTTGACAAGCATAGTTGGCAGTTGTTGTGGCATCTATGTCCTGAAAACCCATAAAAGGTCCCTGACATTGTGCAATGGCCGTATGCTCGCCGATGGTCTCCACACAAAGGGCGGGCGTCCTATTCGCATACGTCCTCGCGATGCAGTACTCCACGTTCTCTGCGAGCTCCACCCACAAGTTCATTGGATCCATCCTCTTTCAGCACATTCAGCACATTTCATCGGTCTTGGCGGATGGCGGATTTATTTCAGCATGTGGCGGCATCTCCATGCACCGTCACATAGTGACAGCCACAAAAAGCGCGTGTGACCTTGATGACTGCACCTGGTGCCCGAATGCGCTCGCGTGGGCGACTCCTGTTTCTGCTTGGATGGCAAGCAGGGTTGCATGCTGGAGATATTCCTCTCCCAAGTGGGCTTGAGACGAACACGCACGACTTGCCCAGCACCGGATGCGCCAACCGGGTCGGACGGTCAATTAAAAGGTGCACGACCTCGAAAAGAAACATATCTGTGGCACTGCAGAGGATGACCTTGTCGACCTTGAGCAGCTGGTTACCCTGCTGGTTCCATGAATCACGACATACCAAATAGCATACAGTAACTATCAAACCAGTACCCGAAACTCCGGTTTGGGTTGTTTGGTCGCCCCGAAAAGAGGTGGGTTCATTCACCACTCCGAACTGTGGGTCGCGGTATGTCCTGGTATATTCACTGTGTCCTGGTCTATTTTGGCTTAAAAGCGACGAAAACTCTGAAGCCCCAAAAGCCCCACCACACACTTCAATTCATCAAACTCGCAGACTTTCGCCGCTCTAGCCGGACCTTTAAGCACCTTCCACCACCGAAATGCTGGCCGCATGCGGCCGCCCGGTGTCACATGGTGCCGTCCGTCCACCAGGCGCCCTCTTCGGCAGCACGCCCGCGGCCGTGGAGCTGGCCTCGGAGGCGCGGCAGCAGGCGAAGCGCAGCGCCGAGAAGCGCGAGAAGGCGCGGCGAGAGCCGGGTGACCGGGCGCGTGGACGGCGCAGTGGACGCGGTCGGTTTGCTTGATGTTCATGTCCCAAACACTCCATGGGACTGCCATAGGACTGCCAATCAGGCCAGGGGTGGTTTTGGGGGTCAATGGGGCGGCAGTCCTATGGCAGTCCCATGGAGTGTCTGGGTGTGGGACATCGAATTGCGCATCCAGACATCCGGAGCTGGAAATCAATTCTACATCTTGCCCCATGAACATGGTCCTGATTTTTTGGGTGGAGTGAGTGCTTGGTGAGCGAGCTGGGTGTGCGCTTGGTGTGTTTCGCGAGAGTCGTGCGGTGAGAGCTATCGTCATGGATGTCATAGTGTTGGTTGGAGATGTATAGAGATGTGGTTTGCAAAAAGGTTAGAGAGAGGTTTTCTACTGCCATGCCCATGTCTTTGCCACCACAAGGTCCTAGTTCCAGTTGAGCAGTGCAAGTGCTTTGGATGATGGATGGTGGTCCACACTCGTGCGTTCGTGACTCGGACACCAGTTCGTGGTCCCAAGCAGGTCTCAGCTTCTGGTGGTGCAAGAAACTCAGATCGTTCACTTTGGATACATATTTGTTACATAACCCCCTTTTTGTTGAGTCCTATAAGTCCAAAGTCCCCGTTCGTCAGTCAGACCATTCTTTTGATAGTCTTTGACTGCCAGGGTCACAATCATGGGACAGGGACCAGTTCCATCCATTTCTGCTTAGGACCAGGTCCATCCAGGTGCCGGACGTAGGTGAGGGTGCCTTGGGGCGGGACAGCCTCTTCTGACCGTGGCGGTCTTGGAGTGCCCCAACCCACAACGCCGGTCTCCATGGAGTCAGCTTGGGACCAAACCGGATGCGACACATTGGACTGGCATAGATGGGGCTCGAGGAAAGGCCACAATCTCCCACACCGGAATCATGTTTGGGATGAGCTGGTCTGATTGAAGCTGGTCTGATAGCCCACCTCGCGAGCCATCCACTGGCCATCCACTGGGTCCGGCCGTCCCAAGCTGCCATCCACTGCCACTGCCGGCGAAACCAGAGTCGCCAACGATCTTCGAGTATCGTTTGAGTCTGAGAGTCACTAAGGTTTGCATGTACCCATTCATTGATACCCAGACACGACCTGTTTGGGACTGCCTAAAAAATGCCGATCAGGCCAGGGGTGGTGCCAGGGGTGGGATTGATCTGTCTAAGGTTTGCATGTACCTGTAAGCAATTCATTGATATATGTACCATATGTCATCTCTATGAATGGCACGCCATATCAATGAATGGCCAATGGGTACATGAAAGACATGGGTCTCATGTACCCATATCATTGATATCATTCCCAGAAGAGTTTGGGACTGCCAGACGGCCAGACGCGGTGCGGGGGGGGGTCTGTCTGGGGTGGCCGTACGCCACGAACGTCGGTGGACCTTGTCTCGCTACTCAGTAGATTGCACTAATTGATCGTTACACATCCCTTCTTGACCATGGCCATTGCACCCCATGGCCATCAACAGCTCCCCATGGCGGGGAACCCCCCGTTCCCCCAGGAGTCACAGCGTGGTGAGATGAGGGGCTGGCGGTCGCTGAGCCGGAAGAAGAGCCGCAAGCGCAGCCGGAAACGAGGCGCAACCGCGCAGCCGGTCGCGCGTCGGTGAGGGATGGAGTGGTCAAACGGTTCCCTACGAGACGGTGAGACCTCATTGGACTGGACGTGGTCATACAAAAACACTGAGTACTGAAGGAGGTAAAAGACCAGGTTTTACTGGGTCAGGCTGGACTTGTAGGGGTTGGTGTCCAAGAAGCATTTTTCTTTGAATGTGCTGAAGCTTAGGACTAGAATATCCAAGATCTCTAGAGCGGTTTTGGTGATAGGGGAGCTTCCTCGATCCCAACGTCTTCAGGAAAAGCGTTCACTGGATTTGTCCGTGGGACTGCCAGGACGGACTGCCGCCCCAGCCAGACCCCCCAAACCACCGCCCCAACTGATGGCAGTCCTATGGCAGTCCCAAACAGGTCGTGTCTGGGAATGTGTTCGATTGGTCGTGACCCACCTGGAGCTCGGAACGCATTTCCACCATGTAACGAACTTTTTGACGTCGGTAGGTCAACCAAGGTGTTGTGGTAGGTCAACCCTTCATACCCGGTTATCACTGTGATCTCCATAGCGCGTGGTATCACAGTCCGCAAGTCGTGTTACCAAGGTGTGGTGGGTGTTTTGACCCACAGCCATATCACTTCACTGATATCAGGGACCGAAGGTTTGCTGTGAAAGCACTTGCTATCAGGGACAAGAGACGTAGAGAACGGCCACCAACTTAACTGCCCAACTGCCCAACTTGGGTCTCTCCCGTCACCTGTAACAGTCAGTCAACAAGAACGTCACCATCATCCACTGGACCCTGGGAGCTTGAAATAGACCCAATGGCCAACTATCAACTGTTCAGGGATGGAATGCTTTCTGTGGCGCTTGCGCTCCCAACCGCCCCACACGGACGTTTTTGCGGCAGGACGCAGCGGGTCTGGCCGCAGCCCACGTGGCACCATGGCTTTTGGAGAGCCATGGGGAGGCCAAAAAGCAGTGGTCCCCAAATTGATAGAAACGCTTAGTGGGGGTCTACGTTCGCTTACTATTTCGGGAACGATATATTTTTAGGAAGCAGTGTCAATGGTCTCAGCGGCCCAGTCTCTTTGGGGGTACTTTCCCTACGTTCGTCCAAGTCTCTCTCAGTAAACCTGGTCCTCAAAACCTCCTACCAGGGGCCCGAAGCAAACCATGAAAAAGAGAGGTTGTTCACATACCAAAAAACAGTTTTGTTGCCAGGGAAATACCAGGTTTTTGATGGTTTCCCCTGGTAGAGTAGTGTTTTAGTATGACGTAACTCCAGTAAAATGAGGCTTTCCTTCGCTCATGGGGGGTTCAGTCCGCTACGATCGTTCCTCCAGTTTGCCACGAGTCGAAGGGCGACCACACCCTCGCGGCTGACGAATTTGGACGCTGATGAGGCAAAAAAACCCTCAAGTTCTCAAGTTCAGGCAACCATGTCTGGAACCCCACACCCCAACAAAAGTCTGATGTGCTCGCCCATCCCCAGGTTAACGCTCCCTTCACAGCCCTCTGCCTCCGTTCACCGCGGATCCGCAAGTCGCGTCGCGGACCTGCGACGGGCGGCGGCGGAACCGAGGCAAAGCCAAGTCGAAGTCGCCCAAAGCGCGGAAGCCGAAGACGCGGAGCGCCTCCAAGCGCCGGCGCAGTCGGAGCAGTTCCAAGCGCAGGCGGAGACGGTTCGAGCGACCTTTCGGAACGGAGAAGAGGGTGACGGTTTCGGGTGAGGAGCAGCTGGGCCACCGCGCCATGGTTGCCGAGTGGGTGAGTTCGTTCGATCGTGTGGCTTGGTGGTGTAGGCCTAGGGCTCCAGTCGTACCTTCTAAGAAGGTGTTTGAGGTGGGTGCCAGGAGGCTCCAAATACCTTCTGAGGAGGTACGACTGGAGCCTTAGGGTAGAGGATTTGGATGAGGATGGTAAGGATCGGTGATCGGAATGGACATCGACACCTGGTGATCGGTTTGAGGGTCGTCCAGGAAGAGACATCCCTAGGGATCCAGTCGTACCTTCTCAGGCAAGGATTGGAGATACTTTTATGTAGGCGCCTGGATCCACCAAATGTTTGCAAATGATGTTGCTTCATGATCCAACATCATTTGTTTCTTTATATGAAGGCCTCCCAAAGCTGCCAACTTGGTGCATAAAAAGTATCCTGGTACCCAGACCAGACGAATGGGACTGGCATATATGAAATCCAATCAAGCCAGGGGTGGTGGTTTCCGGGGTGCATGGACATATACTATTTCAGTCCCATGGAGTGTTTAAAATGGAACATGACATGATATATCCAAAAACTGAAGACAAGAGTCACTCCCGTGGAAGCGATAGAGGCACCACCTGCATGTTTAGGTATTCGGACCTCCATGGTCAATCCCTGTGGATCCACTGCCACCTTCTCAGGTTCGGTACGACTGGACCCGACCCTGGCGCCTACATGCTATAGTCTCCCTGCTCACCATACCTCAGGTTCGGTATGTGGATCCATATTCGAACAGTACCGGGTCGGTCATGTCATGTCCCATCTTTCGTTCGGCTCTTCGATCAGAGGCCTGCTTGGGGTCCAATACCGTACCAGGAACTTCCTCCATGAACCGAGGTTGGTATTGGAACCACGCAGACGCGACCCTGGACCCTCCGTTCAGTAGGGGGCCGGACCCGAACCAATCCCTATAGGGTTTTTCCAAGAAACCCAAGGCCTGTGAACGGAGCGTCTGGGGCCACCAGGACAGTACCTTAAGGTTCCAGGAACTTCCTCCACGCGGTGCGGGGGACGCTCTACCTATCGAAGACCAACTTGAGCAGATACGGTCGACCTCATCGACGGCTGGCCCTTGGTCGACCACCTCGGGGGGTTCGTGGATCTTGAAACCGATGTTGGGGGCCTGAAAGCGGATGCCAAAGGGGTACCTGAAGTCTCAGTTCGTACCTCGGAAAATGGGTCCTGTTCTTTATGCCAAAACATGTCCCATTTTCTAAGGTACTTGAAGTCGGGTCCAGGTATAGTTACCTTTGAAGGATGCCCAAACACGACGATCCATGGGACTACCAGACGGAGTGCCGAGAAACGACCAGGGGTGCTGCGTGCGTGTTTGGGGGGTCTGTTTGGGGCGGCAGTCCGTCCTGGCAGTCCCAGACAGGTCGTGTCTGGGATGTGTAAGGTGAGGATGTTTGTTGGCGTGTTCTTTTGCCAACGTTGGTGATGAATTGACATCTCCCTTCTTCCGTGGTAAAACTGTTGAACCTTCCGAAAACAGCTCCAGCTCTGAAACCGACAATATATGGAAACCTCATGAGGTCATGCTCCATGAGGTCTTTGATGCTCCACATGGTCCAAACGGTATAAGGTTGCTTCCACAGCACCCGGACATGCCCGGACTCCCAATACCCGCACGTTCTGGCCGCCAGCCGCCGTGGCGCGCGCCGGAAGAGCCGCACGCGCCGCAGCCGCACGCGCAGCCGCAGCAAGGTCAAGTCGCCGCTGCCGCGGCGGCGCAAGGGCGACGCAGGTGGGACGGGGAGACCGGCGGACTCGCCCCATCGCGACGTCGACGTCGTGTGACGGTCTGGGTTAGGAGAAGAAAAGCACTTGATATGCACTTTTATAGAGCATCCATGGGACTATTAGAAGAGCAGAAGAGTTATACAAAGTTCAACCTCCAATGAACATGACCCTAAATGTTGCACCTAATTTTTTTTCGGGGTGTCCTGGCTGGAGATCCACGTAGTCTATACGGCATTCCTTATTACAGCCACGAGACCCCATGAAGGGCTCCATAAGGAAGGAATTGCATTTATATAATCCCTAGCCTTCAAAGAGCATCAAGAGCATGGTTGATCTGGTTCTATAGTCTAAAATTCCTTAATAGTTAGTGAAACAATGGTTGATTGAATTCCAGGGTAATGTAAGCAACTCTCCCAGTCCCATGGGTTTCATGTTCTTTTGGCACCTTCTGATGGGTGTTCTGGCTGCACTACTAGCGTAGTTACTACCCTACGCATCCGCATGTGGATCGTGTGGATCTCCAGCCAGGGCACCCAGAGGATGGTTTGGGGTCGAGGTCTTTTGGGGCGGATTGTTCGTCGTCCCTGCAGTGCAGCCAGGTCATCACCTCCGCAAGGGGTGAAAACACCACCCCACCACGACCTCCAAACCGGTAAACCCGACTTCCATTGGAGAAGGGCTTCGGATTCTTATAGGGCCTTCCCTAAAGGGATCGACAAGACCCAAGAGGTACAGTGAGGAAGGAGACGATGTAGGCGCCTTCGGTACGGGTCGGGCCCAGTGGCCCAGTCAGTCGCTGACTGATCCAACCTGGACCGCTCACCAGGCCGTGGCACCACGCGTGGGAAGCGTTCACGCTCCAGCGAGAAGAAGCGCTGCTGGGACAGCACCGGAGTCCCCTCCAGAGAATCCGGGGCCGGTGGAGATCTCTTGGGGGCTAAAGCAACAGAGGGGTGTGTTCAGGATCCTAGCTATAGCATGATATCGCCTAATCCCAGTGGGGTACCTGGTTTTACTAGGGTCTTTGGAGGTGTGTTCAGGACCCAAGAAACGAACTCGCCTAATCCCAGGCCAGGGTAGCCGAGGTCATTTGGATCCGATTGACGGTGGACCACTGTGCAGAGGCGAAAGGATTTATCAACACGTCCGTCCAGTCTTCCACTTGTCAAAAGAAATTCACCGTGAAAGCTATGCAAAAGGATCGTGGAAAGGTTGAGTGAATTGGCCTCCAGAGCTAAAATATACTATACAGTTTGCTGATGTTTGTCAATCGTAATATATGTTAATCTGACTGTGACCAGTAGTACTTGGCACTTTGCACTGGGCAATTCCCACAAGAATTATATAAGAATCACTTGGCTTTGTGCAGAGATTCTTTGCGCCAAGGCAAAGCGCCCGCGCCCAGCAGCAGTTCTTCCGTTCCCCGGAAGACCAAGACGAAGCCTGCGGCGCGCAAGGACAGGGGACCGCTGAGCTTTTTGGGACCTACCGTGGCGACGTGCCAGCACCTTCTGGAACACGGGGTCCCTATATTGGATCCACATACCGAACCTGAGGTACGAGCAGGGAGACTATCGCGGCGCGGGTCGGGTCGGGGTCCAGTCGTACCGAACCTGAGAAGGTCTGGGGATCCAGGGGTCTCCTGCCCTGGAATGACCCTGCCACGCCGCACGCCGACCTGGGGCCGAGCGTTCAAAGGTCGTCGGGGTGGATTCGTTGGGCTCAGAGAGGTGTTTTTGGGTGACCGGGACCATAGGAAAGCCGACCGACCTGGGCGTACCCAACTGGGATAGGCTAGTTCGTTATAGGGTCCTGACACACCTCTGGGATCTCTTTGGAGTGTGGATGATGGATTCAACCAGCAGCCTGACAGCATGCGGGCGCCGCCCCGCCCAAACGCCATTCAGGTAGGCCAACACCCAGAGCAGACGAATGGAACTGGCATAACATTTACTGATCAGTGAATCAGTGGCGGTGGTTTCAGAGAGGGTGACTGGGGCGGCGCAGTCCATGGAGTGTTTGGGACCTGGTGGAAAGCATCTGGGACTCCATGTCTTTCACCGGAGAAAACGACAAACACCAATGGACGCAGAGCGCGGCGGTCCCAGAAGACCCAGAAGACCCAGGAACCTGCGGTCCCAAGGGGCCCGACGTCGGTCCCTTAAAACCCCAAGAACATTGAGGGCCGGGGTGCAGGGTCTGGAACCCTCCAAAGACACCCCAGTCCCACCTTCGAAACGAAGGTACTGTACCTGGAGCCCTGGAAATATGAAGCTCTGATGGTTCAAGATGGGGCGGCGTTTGGGCAATGAGTACATATTTGTTGAACTCCTTGGGTTCATGAACCTTCCAGTTGACAGGTCGTGTCAAACTAACCCTCCCCATCAACCTCGGGCCGCGATCTATGAAGCATGCATGTCCGGAATCTATCTCAACCTCACTCCGTGGAATCACTATGAATCTCAAATCCTGTTTCTTCAGGTGGCTTAATACATAGATGTATCATCATGTATCTAATAATCAGAAAAGACAAACAGTGACTTAATCCTGCACAAAAACACAGCAGCCAGCAGCCAGCCGAGCAGCCACCTTCGCGCCGCTCAACCCCAAACCGCCGAGCACCGCTCGGTGTCAGGAGCGCGTTCCGCCGCGGAAGCGCTCGCGGTCGGTGACGCCCCCGCGCAAGGCCAGCGGCCGGTGAGTTCGAACGGGTTGGTGCAATGTCTCTAAAGGACCGATCCCAGAGACTTGGTTTGACGGGAAAATCTACACACAGTGGTTTCAGAGTAGATGGCACAGACAGAGTAGATGTCCTTTAGATGGGGGTCCATATAAACCACCGACCTCGGGGTCTGTGCCATCTACTCTCAATCCACTATACCAAAAACCACCTCAAGACAGTTGGCCAAATTTACGAGGGTGTTTGAACTTGAGTTCACCAATGATCCACATGTTTGGCTTTGACACCTTTGGACAAGAATCACTTGTCAACTACTTGTCAACTATCCCAGACACGACCCCTGGCCTGATCGGCGCATATGGCAGTCCCATGGGTCGTGACTGGGTATGGTTCATGCGAAAGAGTTCGGTGGTGGTCAGCGCACTGAATTGGCACTCCCCGTGACGCGGTCACGATGCGGACGAGCGCATCGAACGAAGCAAGAAGGGGCTGAGGACCGGGCTCGCTTGACACTGCCTGGACCCTCCAAAGTACCTTAGAAAATGGGACATGACCCCATAAAAACAGGTAAAGCTTGTACCCATTTTCCGAGGCACCTTGAGACTCCAGGTGGTTTCGAGGTTGATGAAGGGTGGTTTCTGTCCCAGACACGCCATGGAATTGAATGCATGGTGTTATTTGAATGTGTCATGAAGGCTGAAAGGGAAGCCCCTTGACGTCCCTGATCAAATCAGATTGATCATTCTAGTTGGGTGAAAAGACTTGCAATGACTTCCTGGCGTGGGGGACGGAGTTCTGTAGCTTCATCAGGAAGTGTGGCATGCCACGGGCCACGCTGTTGGGTCATTGGAGTAACCTGAACATCCAGGTTAGGAGCCAGAAGACATTATATTGATTTTGCTGAGGTTTTTTCACTAGAACACCAGGTTAACCACTCCAAATCCTTCAACCCTAGACTTCAGTTCGACCATTCAAAAGATGGGAGCGACCTAGGTGTTTTGTAACATCCTCATATATAGTTGATTCGGGATTCAGCCCATTCATGGTGGGCCAGGAAGCCTTAAATCCTTCCGACCGCTCCACTGGACCTCCAAACCGCCAGGCCTCTCCGAAGAAGGTGCCCCGCCGCCCGCCCAGCTCCAGCAGCTCCTCGCCGCCGCGGAAGGCGTCGCCGAAGAAGGCCGCGGCGAAGACGGCGGCAAAGAAGGCGGCGCCGGTGAAGACCCCTGGTGATATAGGTGGGTACAAGGGGGGGGGTTAACATGTTTCACGGCCTTCCGGCAGTTTCCGGTGCGTCTTTGGGGTTTTGGTCGCCAGTTCCACAAACAGAAGGCCACCACAACGCGGCGCTCAGAATCATCGGGTGTTTCTGCACTGCTGCGCAAAAGACTCCACGACTGGTGGCCAACGCGAAGCGACGGAGCGTCGGGTGAAGCCCTTTTGTTCCGACAGCGAAATCATGCTTCAGTGCAGATTGACCTGTTTTGGTCTGACATGAAAGTGAAGACTAAGAGCCAGCTTTGTCTGGCAAGGCCCGGTGGCTACTCCTGCTTTTTTGCCATGAAGATCTTCACGGACTGAAAAACCTACACTTCCACTTCACGCGCACCGAGAGCAAAAAAGCTCTGATTCACTGGGTCTTCAAACGTGGCGCAGAGTACGACCGTGCTGCCAGCACGACCGACTCGCAGCGAGCAGCGACCAGCAGACCGGCGCACCCGAAGCAGGACGATCTGATGGGGCAAGGCATGCCATACCTGGGTGTCACGGGAGGATCTCAAAGGAACTCAGTCAACTCGAATTCCCTCTCCAAACCGAACGGGGTTCCTCTCCTCTCTTACAAAAGGTCATAAAGGGACCTGGTTTTTGCTGGATCGACAAGATGATGTTTCCCTTCTGAAAGGGACCAGTTTTACGAGGTCCTGCTGTAAATGACCTACCTATAGACCTTCCACAGTACGATTGGGTTGTTGTATTAGTTTCTGATGCTTCGATGGAAAAAAATGGTAGTTGTCAGAAACGACTGATTTTTGCTTAACGGATCTTAACGGTGTGATTTGGGTATGCTCCACAGATTTTGATCCGAGTGAGCATCACCGGCTATCACACATCTATATTTAGGGGATGACTTCCGTATTTATCAACCCATCCATCCATCAGCCATCCCATTGGACGCAATGGAAGATGGAAGACGCCAGTCATCATCGACCCGGCAAAGACCGACCTTCAAGTTTTTTTGCGGCCTTCTTGATGACGATAACTGGATTAATGCCCAGCTGCCCAGTGTCAGTGTCTTCCTTCTTTACCTTTATCATTATATAATGAACGGCTTCGAATTCCGGTGGAATTGCAAGATGCGATGCAGGATATGTACAAAAAAATTCAAAAACTGGCTACAGGGTTGCAATAAGTTCATCCTTGGTCAATGGCAGAGATAATTCGATATATAATAAATAGATTGATGTCACCACGACAAATGAGGAATTGATAAAGACATCTGTCTCTTCATGCCCAGGCTGTGACCTCTGAAGACCTACATGGAGTGGAAAGCACTTAATGTTGTTCTGAGGTTTCGGAGACAGAATTTGATGAAAACCCACGACCAGTTTTACCTGCAAAACGCCCGCAAAAAAACCCTCAAAACGCCGCTAAAAACTCGCAAACGCCCACAAAACCCAGAAAGTAGGTCAATGGGTTTTTGAGAAACCTCTAAATTCGTTGAATTGCAACTCTTTTGGGCTGAATGTCATGAGTAGGATTGCCTGCTCGACTTGGACAATCTTTGGTCATAAGCTGTTCGGGAGAAAATGAGTGCCTATAGTCATGTTTTCCTACGAGCATGATGTCGACATGAGTTCATTTGTTAGCAAAAATGCAATTATGGTTCCTTTTGCATACTCATATATCATTACCGCATCTTGTAGTTTTGCCGCGCTCGAGCCTGCTTATAATTCTTGGAGCTCTAGGCCAATGTCTGATCGACCAGGGATTAGTGAAAGCCGCTCTTTCTTAGAGGGGTATATCGACTGCCCAAGCGATGGCAAACCCAGCTGACCTTGATTTTGCCACAAGTTTTGTGCAAGCATAAGAGATCATACTTTTGAACTCCCGTGAAACCGACCAATCATCATCGTCATCATCATCATCCTCATCCATCAGTCATCCAGAGGCCACGGGGAGGGCAGTGTGTGACCATGCACGACCACTCTTTGTTGGAATCGTATGTGCTCGACCACTTTTCAACTGATCGTCACAATAAAGTAGTACAAACCACATCGACCAAGATATTTTGGGATTTTGAAGGTCTAGGTATAGTTTTACGAGGTCACGTTTTCTTAGACCTTCAAAAACTTGAAGGTCACCATTTCCACGGAACATTATTTGGGCAATCATACTATAAATATGTATAGCAATGTATACATGGTACACTCATAAGTTTAACTATTGTTTTGCTTTTTAGCAACGCCATGTTTTGTTCAAGCCGATGACCATTCATTGCCGTGTCAAATTAAAAGCTTCGAGTGCCGACATGAGTCACGCTGGAGTCACGCTCATTCAGGTTCGCACAATAGTTTTTGATGCGAAAAACTTAGAGAAAGACGTCAAGCACTTCATGGTTAAGGTGGGAGTCACGCTAAAGTCACGCCAGAGTCACGGCCCCACGTTCAGGCAGCTGGGTCCTAGAGCTAGCTAATTTGGTGGCTCATCCAAACGCATCAGTATACTAGCCAAACCGGCTTTCACAGAGTAAAGGGTGCCTTTTACTTACCTTTTTTTTACTAAAAGACGACGTTTACGGAGTAAATTCTGTCTATCTACCATTTCCACGAAAAGTTTTTGGAGGTCACATTTTGCTATTTCCTTTTGCAGAAAATTGGGCCCCGTAAAACGAGGCACTTGACTTGGAGGGTTTTGTTCCCCAAACAGTGTGTCCACACTGAGGGGTTCTTACGGTAAGTGTAAAACAAGCCCGGGTTCGATCAGGGTGCTCTCTGAGCCCTCGTTTTGGCTGTGCAGGCTCGCAGAAAAGTTTCCTGCTGAAATCTTCAAGTATCTCCATGTGAAGTTTCTTTGCGCACGGTCGCGCGAAATGCTGGCCGCGGGACGGTGCTTGACGGAGGTGCGCTCTCGTTGTGGTGCCGTGTGCAATTTTGGACTTGGCGATCACTTCTCGTGACAGGCGCAGGAGATCTGAGCAGCTTGATGTCGATGCACAGATTTTGTGGCAGGCGCAGTGCTTTGGACATCCTGGTGGTCTTCGGCATGCTCTATAATTTCGTGGCATTGTGGACCTTGAAGTGCACATTTCGTGGCAGGTGCAGTACTTTGTGGACCTTGAAGTGCAGATTTCGTGGCAGGCGCAATACTTTGTGCATCGGTCTCATCCATCGGCCTGAAAACCAGGTGGATGAAATTATGAGGGATACGGGAGGGTCTGCGGGAATTCAAAAGCACAGCAACTTGTATGGAATACTGACCCATCCATGTAAGATCATGTAAGTCGGGGTGCTATCCATGGAGGTTAGGGGTGTCCTTGTCACATCCACTCACTGGATGAGACTAAACACATCTAAACACCATCCAACTCCATGGGACTCCCGGTACCCTGCTTTTCTTGCTTTTTGAGTCAGAGTCCGACAGTCCCATGTTTCACGAAATCGGCCGCCACGAAAGAAGATCTCCCAGGGATCGAGACCCCCATCTCGAGGTTGACCCTTGCCTTTGATAGAAAATCGAAATGAAAGGTGAAAGGAGCCCGTTGTTTCGGGGGATCGCTTGGTCCCCCAAAATCGAATCAACCCATGGTGACGATCTCAGGAAGACCATCGCCAAGCGCCCGAAGCTCTCCAGTGACTCTTCGACCTCCCCGGCGGCGCCGAAGCCGCCCACGGCGGCGACGAAGCCGAGCACGCCCGCGGCGGCGACGAGCGCGGTGGCGACGAAGGCAGACGGAGCCCTGGAGGGGTGGGATGAAGGAGTGGCACGGGCGGTCGCGTGAGTGACAGGTTCACACCAAGCCATGGCAGGTTTACAATTTGACACCAATGCAGACACTGCTCGGTTATTTACCGCGGTATTTACAAGGTTTGTTGATCGTTGTGCTCAAAAACACAGTATTTACAGTGTTTTGCGCCCACGCACCTTCAAAGACGTCGGTATTTACATGTATTTACGTAGTTTTGCATGGCAGCACATTTCTTTGGAGCCATGGCGCGCGTCAAAAAAAAAGAGGCCAAAACCATCCCCAAAGGGCCAAACAAAATGTTCCCGTCCAGATCCCCACCCAATTCAAAGGATCTTGATGCACTTCTCCTATTGTCGGTTTGTGAATTGTTCAAGAACGGTTCGAAATGCAGGCGAGAGTGCCTGTTTTAAGGTCACATGACACATGAGTCACATGCAAAAAACACGGTAAATTTCAGGGTCGGTGCCAGGGGACGCAGCCGGGGATCGTTGTGCCTGGCTATAGAGACCTCGGCAATTTGAGGAACGAGTTTCTGTCATGACGCTCCAACAAATTCTCGTTTGGCTCCTTTTGGCCTTGAGAAGTGCTGATGTTCGTGCAGGGAGACTCTCAGGAACACCAAATTGGTAAATTAGCTATTTGTTTTGTAGCGCAAAATATCACTCAACGCGCTCAGAAAACTTGGCGGCTGCAGCGATCTCAATCCATTTTGAGCACAGAGGCTCAGGAACCCAAGGGAAAAATCGATTTAACAGGAACGATTGAGGAGAGCCATGGGGTGAAGACATGCAAACAGTCTCCATCACACCTTGACTTGCATCAAGGATCACTACAACAAAACCCTCAAGGGCATCTAAGAGCAACACCCGAATGTTCCAGACCAAAACATTCCTGGTCGTAAGACCGGTGTTATGTCGACCCGTCGTCTCGTGTGAGTTGTTCGGTTGGGAGCACAGAGCGGCACATGTGGTATTTGGGACCCCAAAGAGGTGCTTCAACGTTTTGCTGGATCAGGTGAGTTCTTACCCAAACACTTGATGGGACTGTCATATATATAATATATGCCAATCAGTTGGGGTGGTTTTGGGGATCAATGTAGGCATATATGGCAGTCCCATGGAGCGTCTGGGTTATATATGTCCCAACTGGGCAAACCTTCTTCGGGGCGAAGATGTGATGTTTCCCAGCTCGCAAATCCCACCAAGAGGCTGAAGGACCGGATAGCCTATCCCAGGCCAGGGTACCCCAGGTGACAGGTCCTATTGACGGTCATGTTCCACCTCTTTGGGTAGACATGCTTGCGGAGGCGGCGAGCGCCAAAAGCGCCAAGGGCAAGGCTCAAAGCTCCTGGACGGTGAGGATCACGTGGATCCCTGTGGAATCCCTGTGGAGCCACGAAAAGGAGAACACCTTCAGTCGCGTGAGGGTAGGGGTGAAGGGCTCCGGAGGAAGGAGCTGATAGGTGCCCCGAACACAACCATGGCCCCTGGATGGGACGAAGCAAACCACCCAACTCAATATGTGACGCGTTTTTGGGCATTGAGGACACCCCACATTAGTCACTAAGCAAGAACAGGTGCACAGAGGTCATCATGGAAGTTGATGGCATGGCCCTGGAAGGAGGACCATGAAATCAGAACACCAAGTACGTGGTGCCATCGATATCTGTTCAGCCCGGCATCGGTTCTGGGACACGGACCCGACGGACCCGACGGACCCCAGCGGTGGTTTTGTGGGACACGGACTCGAAGCGAATGATGGACCGAATTGGCCCAGGACCAATGTCCAACTCATGTTTTGGGACGGCCCCGAGAGGTTTTAATGTGACAAGCCCGATAGGTCGGTCCTCTGAGAGGGTGAGTACTATGATGTACTATTGATGTATACTACCAGCACCTTCAAAGGGGTCACCAATGGAAGCCCCTACACTACTAAGGGACCTCCATTGGACACCCCTTGAAGGTCCAGGTATGTTTGTTTTTTTGGGGGGTCCAAGCTCGGAGTCAATTCAACAAACCCTTCCAGCAAAAGTTCGGGGGTGGGTTTTTATAGGGTGATTGGGGGGACATCCCAAAGGGATCTATGGTATACAAATTTCTTGAGGTACAATTTTTGAAACTCAGAAGATCTTTGGTGCGAGTTGAGATCGTTGAGTCGGTTTGAATACTTTGACTTTCAGGCTGAATGCGGATGGACCGTGGAGGGACCAGAGGACATACCAGGACATACCAGGACCAACCTAGTGAGTGACCGAGTCCCAACCAGTAAAGAGTTCTGGTTGTGCTCCAAAAAGCTCATGGGATTCTTTACATCACATGTTTTTAATTGTATTTTTTGTTTTTGTGGAGAACATCCATTGCATCCATGAAACCAATTCTGCTTGCGGTGTGGCTTCACCCGGTCCAGGTTGCTCTCAAAACGATCCGCTTTTGACGTCCTTCGCTCGTGGACGAGGACGACGGCGGTCGAGGACGGCCGACTGGACCTAAGGTGCCACGCCCAAGGTCAGTGCGAAGAAGAAGGAGAAAGCTCCGCGACCTGGCCGACCAGCAGTTCACGATGGATTGGAGACCAGTTCACGTAGGCCTCGTGTTGGGGTGGAGAGGAGAACGATCGGCAGTTGAGGAAGTGGTTTGGTTGTTGATGTGTTTGGCCCTTTAAACAGTCATATAGCATTTATAGCTATAGCAGCTATATGTGTATGGCCAGGCATGTACAGGTTTGTTTCTTTAGCGCTTCTCCAGGAACGTCCACTGATTTGCGGGTGAACCTCGGATCCCCCCCGGCACAGCAGTGATCCCGGCGAGCCACAGTGTGCTGGTGAGGCAAAGTGCCTTTTTTCTGTGGTGGATTTCATACCAACAGAGGTTGAAGGGCCCGAACTAGCCTATCCCAGGCCAGGGTACCCCAGGTGACAGGTCCTATTTAGGGTCACTTAACCTCTCTTGGTACTTCATCTTCACCATTGCATCTTCCCTCTTCTTCACCAATCCATCTGTGGATGAACCAATCCATATTGGCTAATCCTCTGGGAAGTGATAGATGAACTTCTATCCATTTTCCCTAATCTTCACTTCATGTCCACTGGTACCTAGACCATCCATGGACTATAACCGATCAGGGCTGGTTGAGTGAACCGGGGGTGCATAGACTTCCAGTCCCATCGGATGGTATGATGCAAGCTGTGCCGTCCAAACCCGGAGCTTAGTCAAGGCCAGAGACATGGCTGTCCCATCGTTGGTTCGTCCGTCTGGCCTTCGTCACCCAGCCGATCCGTTTGGCCTTCACTGCATCGAACTCACGGACGATTTGCAAACATCGTTTGGTCAGTGGTTCAACTTAAGTGAGTTCAATCAACCCACCCACCCACCCACCCACACACACCATTAAACCTCAACATTCAACATCTTCGACTGCATCAGTCTGGCTGTTTCATTGAGACTCCACGCGTGGCTGGGGAAGTCAATGTGCTGCTTGACATGGATGATAAATTGTGAGATGCAGGATGTCTTAAGCAAGCAAGTAAGTAAGTGTGAGCTATACAAAGCCCTTCCAAAGCAACAGTGGTGAGTAGTGGTGCAGTCTTCTAAGCGCAACAAAGCCCATCATGAAGACTGCGACGACCCACCCCCATTTGATTCCCACCCCTCCATCCAACTGCACTTAGAAACAACCACACCCCAATTGACTCGAACACTGGTCACTCAACAGACTTGGCCAAACAGCTCAACTCACAGACTTTGATCTCGACTTCGTCTCAGGAAGCCTTCCAAGCCGGAGCCCTCCGCTGCTCCACCGCCGTCCGCGCCCGCGCCGCCCGCGCCGCCGCCCGCGCCCGCGAAGGCGCCCGCGAAGGCGGCCGCGCCGAAGGCGACGGCGGCGAAGGCGACGGCGTCGCCGAAGGTGGCGCCCAAGGAGAAGGTGAAGAAGAAGAAGGTGAAGTGACTTGGGGAGAAGAAGGGTGACGACATGAAGAAGGGTGATAAAACACCTCGGGAAGGTGCAACTTCGTTCGAACAAAAGAGAAAGCAACAAAACCATTGAAGTCTTGATGTATCGATATCGATGCGACAGGAAGATGTTGAAAGGTGAGGTCTTACCGTCGGTATTGCCTGAGACCTTGAAGGTGGAAGGCAGTTGAAAGTTGAAGTAGCATTTTTTGGGGGGTTGAAGGTGGTGGAATTCTTGGGATGAATTCGTAAACTTCCGGACTCTTGGCTAATCACCCCCCCCTCCAGATTTGTCCAACCTCTGAAGCGGCTTGCTGGGGTTGAAATCAATATTATCAAGAGTCCACATGAGTAGTGGTTTTACACAAAAGTGGAACTGCTCTTGATGCTGCGTAGGCTGTTCTGCACCCCAAAAAGCCACCACTCACATGACCTGAACCTTCAGAGCTTCACTCCCGGCGATCGGGCGATCGAGGGTCATGGCGATCAGCTTCCGTTTCCTCCCTTGTTGGGAAGGACATCTTCCATCTACAGCCCAGACCATCCCTGGGACTGACATATTTGCGAACAGGGTGGTTGACTTTGGGGGGGTCTGGCGAACGATCGGCGGTACTTCTTCTCCAGTCCGACGCCGGCACCGTGACCGTCCTGGGCACCTCCGCTTCGGTCGGTCCTCAGGAAGGCGCCTGCACCGGTGCCCGCGAAGGCACCTGCAGCGCCGCCCCCGGCGCCGAAGAAGGCGCCGCCTGCGGCGCCGAAGGCGCCCGAGGCGAAGGCGACCGAGTGCCATGGCTGACCTGGTGAGACTGAGTGGATGACCTGGTGATGGTGTTCAGGTCATTTTCAGGTCGGTCCTTTTTTTTTGCCTTAATTAACTACCTTAACTTGAAATCATTGATCCATATTGATTCATATTAAGATCCTATATACTAGGACTGCTGTTTTTCAAGCGAGTTGAAATCTGTATGGAACCCCCACCAAGATCTCGCTCGGGGTGATAAGGTGCTGCCTGGGTGATAAGGTGGCACGGAGTCGGATAAAGGACGATTTCTAAAGCAATGGGGGGAATGTGAGATCGGTCTTCATAAGGCTCCAAGAACCCACCTTTTGAGGAGGAGAAGGTGGGACAGGGGTGGGTGGAATTGGGTCGAATACCACCGGTCACCTGAGGAGATGGGCCAGGAGTTTTAGGGATAAATCAAATTTGCTTTGGATCTTCTGGGAACTCCCGGACACGACCTGGTTGGGACTGCCAGGACGGACTGCCGAGAAACGGCCAGGGGTTGTTTCAGGGGTCATTGTAGGCATATATATATATATATATACATGGAGTGTTTGGGAAATGTTGGATGACCTCACTGACCGCACTACTATGAATCTAACGTGAAAGATCCAGGGGCGAGAAAGGGGGCACATGATGGGGAGACAAAAACTGAAACGAGCAACGGTGTGTTATGTGTATAGCTAGCGGGTGTTCGCCATTTGTCCCACACACGACTGCCATAGGACTGCCGCCCCATTGACCCCCAACCCACCCCAACTGTCCCATGGAGTGTCTGGGTCTGTTTGTTTTGCGTGTCCTTTGTTCGCGATGTGGTGCCGAGTGCCAAGAGCGGCCACGGACGCAGGAGGCGGAAGCATGTTCGGGTTGAAGAATGGGACCGATCGATGCCATACCCAGACACTCCATGTATGCCACATATATATATATATATCCCTAGGGATCCAAGTACCTTCTCAGAAGGCACCTGGACCCTCCAAACCCACCCCAAACACCTTCTGAGAAGGTCCTTGGATCCCTAGGGTATGCCTATACATTGGGGTGGTTTGGGGGGTCAATGTAGGCATATATGGCAGTCCCATGGAGTGTTTGGGATATCTAATTATGCATTCTTGGAGTCGGTTTTATTGTTTCTTCCGATGGGAACGTTCCTCTCCCTATACAGGGGCTGTGTGGGCACAGAGCGGTTGTGACGCAACTGAGGAAGGGCGATGACAGCGATGTGGAAGCTTGGCACATGGGAGATGACATTGAATAGAAATACAATCTAGTTTTGCTTAAGGTGACTTTGTATTTTCCCTATGGTTAAATGCCCTTCTGGGGAATGCAAGGTGTCACTTGTGACAACGTTTTTTTTGTTTTGCCAGCTCAAAGATCATCGTGAATTCAGTTAAAGAGAAAATTCCGTTTTTGATATGATTGTGCAATGTCATGTAACATGTCTTGCTTTCGAACCTGATTTTCTTTTTGCCCGGGGGATGAGCCATGGACGCCTCTCGATTTACTAGGTCCATGCCCCAGGGCGTATCGTCCTCAAAAAAGGCATATCTTTGGGCTGTGGCCATGCGGAGTAGCATTCCAGCAGTCAGCTTTACAAGATCACATGTCTTTGGATGATGATCTGTGGCCATGGGGAATGGCTAATTGGAAGTCTTCTATGCATTTGCTGAAGCTTTTGTTTGCGCATGGGGGTTTTAATGCTCATCAGCCCATTTTAGGTCAAGAATGGATGAAAGGCAGCTGGTGAGAAACCATTGATTGGTAGATGTATTTCGCCTCGCGGAGGTCTCGCAAACCCTCGCGAAGGCCTCGCAGAGGGACCCAACACACACCCACTTTCTAATATACATTACTACATCTCTATATATAATATCCGATATGTATCTATCTCATTACCATTCGGAAGGCATCAACAGGGTATATTGGGAGGTCATGGCTTCTCAATAGTTGACTGCCACACTGAACGACTTGTTGAAGAGGCTGTGGCCATGGGATTTCCACCCATCATCTAGCAACATGTTGTTTCTACTGCCACGACCTCCGGCAAGAGCAACACGAAGTTTCATACCTAATGCATAGTTTCAAGATGTTACAAGGGTTGCTTGAAGATGCCGTGGTCATGCGGGTGCCATGGGTCAACTATCAATTAGATTTTTGGTCACAAGCATGGGCTTCCACAAGGGAGTTCAATGTTTCCACATGAAGGATGACAAATTTTTAGATTACTTGAAGCAGCGGGTTCCAGGTGCGTGATGTGCCTTTCGTGAACATGACGTGCCTTTCCCTAAACACTGTGGCCATGCAGTGATGCGCCTTTCAGACACGTGATGTGCCTTAGGGTGCCCGCTTGTAGGAGCCATTGGAGTTTGGAGCAAACGGCATGTGACAGTTCGAGCCAACATGTTCCCATCATTGATTTGACCGACTCTCCCATTTTTCACATTCGATGCATTTGCACAAGGCCACGGCTCACTGGGGCAATGGCCACCGCTGCCGAAAATCCACCTTGAAAAGGTTGCTCTTCGAAGCACACACCCTGGTTCTTGCACAACTCCTGGGAGCAAGTCAGCAACCCCGAAGCGGCTCTGGAAGGTGCCGCAGGTCTAAGGAGAAGCCCGGCTGCCAGGATTAGCCATCGAACCCTCTAAGGAGCTTCACGACCTGACGACAGAAGCTTCTGGGAAGCCAGACAGCTCAAGTACTTGTCGCCCGAAGAATGCACATCCCAAGATCGGGAAATCACGATGGGCAAAGGATCGAAGCAGCTGAGGTTAGACTCTGACAAGTCATTGTTGGTCAAAAAAAGTCGTGAAGCGCCAGACCAGAACCCTCAGGGAGGCCTGCAGGTTGAAGCTTTACGTCGCGGGGTGGCGTTTGCATTCGCCGACATGCTGTCTTGGAATGTGCATGCATGAGCGTTATTTGCAAGAGTTGCTTCAAAATTTTCGACATGATCCACCAGCCAGATATGTGAAGCCATCAGCCCAGCAGCTGTTGCGAGCTGATCGTCAAGTCTTTGATAGTCTTTGTGTCTGTATAAGGTCTGCAACACCAGCACGTCGAGCAGGTGATGGCACAAGGTACATGACTGGCCCAACCGAGGAGGCAGGGCCTTGGTCAAAGAAAATTCAACAGAACGGAGGGAAAGAGTTGCCAATCGAAACCTATTCGCAACTTCGACTTGTGAAGGACCAGGCCTTGGACTGTGTACTGCTACACTTCCCTCTGAGCCGTAGGTTTGGAGTAGTTCAGGGACAACGTCCAATGCGTAGATGACTTCACTCGTTCGGGTTGGGTGTAAACTCTTGCACCCAGGCATGTGAAAGCCCTCTTCCGCATAGTCTCGACGTTGCCGGCATGTGTCTTTGAATCTTGTCACAGGCAAGTGGGCGCGGCCCGTGGACCGGTTGAGCATTCGACCTAAAAGGGGCCTACCGACTGTGAGCAGTTCACCATAGTTCACCCTAGCTCCAAACCAAGAGCCCATATAGTTGCACAAGAGCCTGTGGGTCTTCCGCACTTTCATGCGCTCCCCTTTGGCAGCATAAAGACCGTGCACTCATTTTTGCAAGTAACCCACTTGATTTGGCCCATTGCTGTAGTCCTGTTCGGGCTAGTAGGGTCCAACTATGTTGACGACTTCGTCACAATGTGTCCAGCAGAGGAGTCGGCTTCTGTGAATGAATGTGTTCACATACTGTTCACATTGCTGGGCTGGAAGTTTGCTGAATCTGGGCCAAAGGCTCCGCCTTTTGCATCCTCATTCGGAGCCTTGCGAGTAAAGTGTCCTCTCGTGAATTGGCTCTGTTTGTTCAACAATACTGAATCTCGAATGGCAGAGCTTAGCAAGCTTCTGGATGACATTTTGGCAGAAGGGCATTTGTCGCGAATCAATGCTCTCAAGGTCCGCGGACGATTCCAATTTGCGTCTTAAGCTGTTCGGCAGGATCGCATTTTTCTGGTGCATCGTTTGAACCAATCCAAGGGATTCATCGTGCTGCGCTGGGTGCTGTTTTGATCAACAGCCAAGGGCAGGCTGTCAAGTTCTTGTCGGTAAAAGTCCCGCCACATGTGCTCAAAGCAAAAATCACCTCAGGGAAACAAACTGTAATATTGGAGTGCGAATTCCTTGCTATCTTTCGTGCGCTTCACGCTTGGAGCACTGACCTTCAGTTTCGCCATTGACAACAATGGTGTGCGTGACGCCCTGATCAGCTGCCCGCCCGGCAGCGTAAATGCAAAGCCAATCCTCAATCCCTAGGGTTCCAAGGACCTTCTAAGAAGGTGTTTGGGGTGGGGTTCGAGGGTTCAAATACCTTCTGGGGAGGTACTTGGAACCCTACAAAATTGCATTCTCAAACTTGAAGGCGCTTTGCCCTGCTTTCCGTGGTACGCTCGTGTCCCGACCATGTCTAGCCGCTAGCCGATGCACTGTATAGGCTTGACCGTGCGGAATTTGAGTTTCAAACTGCCACGCAAGCCGCAAACGTCGTGGAAAAGATGGTGTCCAGACTTTTCTCTTGAACTGGGGGAGTGCCGTTGGACTGGACACCATTTCGCCCACTGTGCGAATGCATGTGGTGCGAAGGGTTTAATTTGATCGATAAGCAAACTAACGTCACTTGTGATATCGTTTTATCTGTCGTCTCGAAGATCATCGTGAATTCATAAATTAAAGAGGATCTTGAGCATGGAATTCAGTTTTTGATATGATTGTGCAATGTCATGTAACATGTGTTGTTTTCGAACCTGATTTTTTTGCCACGCCCATCCTCCTTTTGGCTTGTTTGGGTCTGTCGAAATCCACACTCCGTCCCACGGAATATTTACAGTAGTCACAAAGGGGCGCTATCCATGAGGTTAGGAGTGTCCCTGTCACACCCACTCACTGGATGGGACTATCCATTCACTGCAACTTGGACACCTTCCCAGAAACCAGACCTCGGGAACCGCGGCTCCTTCAGGAGATCTTGGGTGCAGACATCAACTGGACCTCGCGTGCAGCGAAGGTGGCAGCGCAGCAGGCCTCAGTGGCCAAAGCGCAGGAGCGGAAACCTGAGGAGGCCAGCTGAAACAACACTCCCTATAGGTTTCCTGGCCCACCATTCATGTTAAAAGGCTGAATCCTGAACCACCATTGTTTTACTAGGGATTTCACACTACAAGACCAGGTCGTTCCCATTTTTGTTGATGGTCGAACGGACGTTGACCACTGGGAGTGCTTCAGTGTCAGGCGTTGGCAGGGCTGTGAGGTTTCCTTGAAACTGGAAGCACTGGGGGTGGTGGAGCGTGGACGGCTAGGGTTGTTTACTGCATGCATGTATAGTATTTTTTGGATGAGGGGCAAACTAAATTAGGCCTATATAGGGAGTTCTTGGATGCAAAGCGTTCGATGCAATCAACTTCCAAAAGGTGGCATGCCCGTCGGCCAATATGACCATGCGGTTCTTTTCATGGATTCAGTTCCTGCACCATCCATCAGGAGCACGCACGCACTCGTTGCAGGTCAAGGCAAATCTTTGCCTTGACGCCACCTCAAAGCCGCATTGAAATCAGGATCTCGCAGGGGATTCCAAATTCAACCGGCCTTCCATTCTCAAGAGACGAAATGTTTGGTCTGTATGAAGGAAACCGCCTGTCCCAAAGGGTAGCCTCGTGTCTTTCCCGAACCTTCAGTGGAACGCCTGGGAGGTCTCCCGAACCTTCATCCTTTTTGCGCTACACTCGGATGGCCAACCACCGGTGCCATCGATGCCCAACCGGCCCACACCATTCTCCGCGCCCCAACAAAACCGAAGCCGCTCAGTCTGGAACCACCACCATTCTCCGCGCCCCAAAACGAAGCGTCGGACAAACGGCTTGGTCGCCGCCTCGGTCGCGGACGCCGCCTCCTGGGGCGGCACGGTGCCGCCGAGCTTCGGAGGTCTTAGCCCAAGCGTTGATGGAGGTCTTGGGCCCGGTTGACATGTCGCAACAGGAAGCTCAGCTGCTGCGGCGCCAGCGCCTGCGCCGGCAGCGCGGCGAGCTGTGCCTCGGGACCAGGACGGACTGGCAGATGGTACCGATCAGTTGGGATGGTTTGGGGTGGTTTGGGGGGTCAGTGTAGGCATAAATCCCAAACACTCCATGTATGCCATGCCTACATTGACCCCCCAAACCACCCCAATGTAGGCACATATGGCAGTCCCATGGAGGATGGTTTTGGGTTTTTTTCCGGGTTTTCCTGCGGCCAGGCCCCGCTTTCGGGCAGAGGGACAGATCACATCAGGTAGTGAGACGGCGAGCCGTCTGGGTCATGCTGAGACGGCTGAGACGGTGGTCTGGGAGATGACTGGTGCTTTGATCATTCCACGTGTGACCCAGCTGGCCAAATAGGTCACCCGGTGACCCAAATTGTTTGCAGGCTTAAAACTTCTTGAAACCACCAGATAGGCAGATAGGCAAGTTCTTCTGCACCACTCCAGCCCATCACATAGTAACTAAGTATGACATAGTATTTGCAGATATGTGCTCAAGGTCCAAGGTGGTGCAGGCTTGCCAATGAGCAAGTCCCCCAAAAAAACATGGCAACAATCTCTCCAAATCCACCAAAGCAAAACCCATCAAGTTCGCCCCCCCTTGGCAAATCCATCCTCACTTGTCAAGCCCCCTTCCAAATCCAGCGCGGAAACCTCCCCACCGCACCAAAAAGGCCTCTGCACCAGGAAAAACACGAAGCATTCAAACATCATCGAACTATAGTGCGACTTGGCCCATCCTTCGGTCTTTTTCAGGAATATAAAGGATATTCCAAGGCCTTTTGGTCCGGTCACTGGATCTACCTCACCCGGCCTCACCGGTCCGGTCCAACCGCTCCGAGGCCCATGGCTGAGCCCGTAGACGTCACGGCCCCCGCGCGCGACGGCGACGGTCCGGAGCGGCGGGAGCTGGAGCAGAAGCTGCGGCTCGGCGGGTCCACGCGGTCCGCGCGGTCGTGGCGCGGAGAGGGAGCGCGGAGAGAGGGATGAGGGAAGAGAGGGAAGGTGAAAGCGACAAAGACACGGAGTCCAGTTGGGGAAAAAGAGACCGGGAGGAGCTAGCTCTTGTTTTTCTGTTCTGTGAGGAGAAGACGTATACGTTTTGTTTTTGTTTTTTTTTTTCGATGCGTCGAAACGCCTGAAACGTTCCAAGCAAATGGGGACTGGAAAAAAAAAACATTGGAAAGACCATGGAACACCTGCCTGGACCATCTAGGGGGGTGTCCTGGCTTCAAAGAGATCCTGGATAGCAGTGGGCTGGCTGGTCCAGCCCGGACACCCAACGAATGCAATCTTGTTTGGCCGAACTTAGCTCACCAAGAGAGGTGATAGATGTGACCGTAAATAGGTCACCTGGGGTACCGGGATAGGCGAAGGTTCGGGTCCTCAACCTCTGTTGGCATTTTGTAGATGGAAAGGCGGACATGTTGCATATAGTTGGAAGATCCTGGTATGTGCCTTCTTCTGTGAGGTGGTTTCACAGGTTTGCGTCAGGGCGTTTGGCTCCCTTGGTTGGGGATACCACCACTCGATCTATGGTACATGGGATCGATCCCTCGATTCCCCAAAAGGACATGATTGGATCAGGGCGATGAGAACACGCGTTCCAAGCGCATGTGACTTTGAAGCACTGTGACTGAAAGTAATGGTATAGAAGGTGCTTTGGTGCTCAATATATGAGCATCCGATTTCTTGTTCGGTGGTTCTTCCAATAGCGAAAATACATGGATTGCGGCCAAAAAAGCCTCGAGACACCGGGGAAAAATTGATCAATCGCTTCGGAGATGGAACACCGCTTGACTGCCGTGCCTTTTTGTTTCTTTACCAGGAAAGTCACGCAACGGCAGCTGCTGCAGTTACAGCTGGGAATGAAGCAACAGCAGCTCCTGGGCGGAGGATTTGCAAGGTTTCCAAATTCCAAAGACTCCTTGGGACTTGAATTTGGACTTATAAATTACCTTCTGATGACCCCTGAAACCAACCACCCTAAAAATTACCCGCCATGTCGACTATTTCAAGGAGTGTTTGGGACTCCAACAACACATCAGAAGGTTTTGAGGCACAGATATAAGCACAGGCAACATTCCGATTGATGGATGTATGTGCCAGCAGTCACGAAGGGGCGCCTATTGGAGGATAGGGGTGCCCATTATCCACTCACTTAGGGACTAAACACCACCCCTTTGTGACTCCTGGTGGACATGTTTAGTTTAAGAACCTGCCAACCATTGTCACATGCTCATCTTTGATACCATATATGTTCTCATCACTTCTAGTGAAGGAAGCCATTGACATAAGCCTGGAATGGGGACAAATGCGGTGTTTTGAATGGGGGAAGCGAAATCCGAAATGCTGTTGCAGGGTGTAGACTGGGCATTGTGTTTCTTCTGGCCTGGCCTTGTCATCCATATATGTGTTGAGCAGATCACATCTACGTACAGTTTTACTGGCAGGCTATGACTGCCCAATAACACATCCCCTGGTGGTCCTAATTGGTTTGGTTCCCCAGAAGGCCCGCTGAGGCTCCCTCGGACATCTTCCGCACTGCTCCAGCTTTGGTCCCAGGGTCCCGACTGAAGTCCATTCCAGACGACTCGATGTGCACCAAGTTGTGGGAAAGTCCTTTTCTGGGGTCACCTATCGTCAGACTGTCAGACCTTTCGGTTTATTGTCGACTCTAAAAGGGTGTCCGAAGCTACTGACTCTCGTGGAGTGTTTGGGATATGAATCCCCCTTATCACAGGTATAGTGTATCATGCTTATTGCTCGAGGTATAGTGTATACAGTATATGTTAACATATCATGTTATACCGAGACGCTCCACATATACAAGGAATAGAATGCCTACATACCTATACCTAGACTGCCCTTTCGGGCCAGAGCACATGTTCTGTCCATCCATCTACCCAGCCAAGCTAGTCAAAAGGTTGCCTACATTGACCTCTGAAAGCGCCCCAATGTAAGAGTGCTTGGGTCTGGGTACATATATAGACCTGGATTACTCAGTTTGTATACCATATGTTCTCTTTTCGTTTCAGGGTCACTTGATGTCATGACGTGTTCAGACACATCTCGTCCTCGTCCTCGCCAGGTTAGAGAACCTCAAGGCGAAGATCCGTTCCAAGCCGCCCAGCTCCGTCCAAGCCAAAGCCCGCCGCGCCGGACCGCCCCGCGCGCGACCCGCGGGACCGGCGCCGAGTCCCAGCCCGGTCGAGCCGGGTGGACCGGTCGCCGCGGGGCCGTCGCCCTTTAGTCCCAAGGACCGGGCGGGAGAGTGACGGCGGCCGAGCGGTGGAGGGTTTGACCTGGCAGAACTCAGCGGAAGCATGTGCGACCTGGACGATCCCCCCATGCACGTGGCGACCACACGCCCGTCGACGCGCCCATGCGACCGGCGTCGATGAGATGTTGGAGTCAAAGCACTGGGAGATGTTGCTGTTGTTGTTCGGTGGTCAGTCTCAAAACCAGCGCACCTGGGCTACCGTCGGGGTGCGGTGGTGGGCTACCTGGTGGGCTACCATGGACCACTCCCGGAGAAAGGTTTCCGTGGGTTTCAAACAATGCCAAACACCCTTTCTTTTGAGGTGTCAAGGTAGCTTTGGTTCGACCATGTTCCATCTCAGTTCTTACCGAAACGGACAACTGAGAAGACCAAATCCGCTTTCCATCTTCTCAGATCAATGCGACCCTCGCAGGACCGCGCGGCCACGGCAGCGCCGGCGACACCCCCGTTGCCGCCACGCCCACGGCCGCCGCCAGCTGCGGCGATGAAGATGCCCGGATGCACTGGGAGGCTGAGCAGACTTGCCCAGACCAGACGAATGGGACTGGCGACCAAGGTTTCGTTTTGGGGGTGGAAGTCCGGAATGAATGTCTATAGAGTCTAGGCATAGATTGCCATGCCAGATCATGGGAATTTTTGGGCTGATATACACTGATCTTCTTGCAGAGTCACATGGGGATACGACAACCCGTAGGTTAGACCATTTTTGTTCCAATCTGCAGGCACTGCCGAGGCTCAGAAAGCCATACTGTGGGTGGTTAGCTTCACCAATCCCCTTCCACTCCGACTGTTTTGAAGTCTTAAAGTCCACGTTGTGGTGAAATAGCACGTCCGAATCCAAGTCATCCTCAAGGCCGCGAAAAGACTTCTCACCCTCCTGGGTACCAAGAGAAGCCCGTGGAAGCCCTGCAAAAAGCGTTTGAACCTTTGTGTCCCGCTTGAAACCAGTTGCCCATGTTTTCACAAGAGCTAGCAACCAGGTGTCCATAGGTGTCCTTTAAGATGTTTGTTAGCACCTTAACTGGGGTTGGACTGACAGACACTTGGCGCTGAAATGAATGGGCCGAAACACTTTCGAAGGAGGCCAGGGGAGTGAATGACCAAAGAAATCTCAAGCTCCTGGCCTTACTACTAGGAGCAAGGACGCTACTAGGGCTCTTTACTTCGAGTGATCAATCATTTGTGTTCACGCCATGGTGTGAAACATGTTGCCATGGTCGTGGGATTGTGTGTTTGTGGTTGTGTGTTTGTGATTATATGTTGCGTGTTGAGGTCTGGTAGGTAGTGCCCACTGCGATCTGGCGCTTGCTGTCGAGGTCCGGGGCAGAGGAGAAGGAGAATTGGAGAAGGAGGAGAACACTATTTGACAACCCTCACCTGGCAGCACGACATCAGCACTTGCTTCCGCTATATGAAACTCAAGTGCGTGTAGGCGCTCATGTTGCTGCTGTTCGATTGACGAACTCTGACGTCGATCCAAAGAAGTTCTGAAGGCCCAAGGGGAAAGCGAGCACCGTCTAAAAGCGCCAGGGCCTTGGGGCACTGCCATGCATAGGATTGAGGGTAGATGGCGCAATCACAAGAGCGCCGGATCTGGTCCGTCGCGGTAGACGAAGCACACCAAGAGAAGCTTCTGCAAATTTCTGCCGTGCTGGCAATGCAAATTTCTGCCGTGCTGGCAAGAGCAGCCCACGCCGTTCTCTTGGGAGACAGGCTGCAAGAGCATATCCCAGCTGCCAGTGTTGACTATGGCGTTTTGTGATGGAGCAAGACTCGGCTTTTTCGTGGGCTGCGAGGTGCGGCGCGCCAACCACATGAGCTTACCCGTCACCCTTCGGTACGGCAAAATGATAGCAGGGGCACTGAGGGCAACTGGCTGCGAGGTTGCCAGGTGCCATGAGAGTGGACCACAGACGCTGCTGTTGCCCGTGCTTTGCGAAGCGTCAGCAGATGTCAGGATTGTGGGGAATATGGACCCCCATATTGGCCATCTGAAACCACTGTCAAAAATATGGTCAAAAAAGGATTCCCCGTCGTGTGATTCAGCTTTGACCATACGAGCCCACACCATCCATATATGCCTAAGCCGGCCCAAAGTAGGGCTTCAGATGTCAGTCACATGGCCTTGGGTGCGGAGAACAGCCTTTTGTTCGAGTAACCACTAGTGGCTTTGTTTGACTGATTATGATTAGGATGACACTTATATTCTTCCTAATCCCTTAACCTGGGGCATATGTGTTACTTTGTGCCATTGTGATATATATATGGGGGATCCCATGCAATTGGGGGTTTGGTGCCTATCCAGGGGCTTGAGCTTGGGTGTACTTTGTGGGTCACATTGGGAGCGTGGTTGGGTTTGAGCCTCCATCATCGCCCGGCCTCTAATTTTGTGCATTGAAGAAGATCTTGTCAATGCAAGATTGAATTGTCTTGGTGTAAGATCTTGAAACAATGAATCAACATTTTTCCTGTACTATGTATTGAGTGATCTTGAATGAAGCAATGTGCATGAACACACAGTTGCACTTCATTTCCACTGCGGCCGGTCTTGCGCCAACGCCCGGCTCGGTGGCCTGGAGCGCTGGAGCAGGCAGAGAGACAACCAGGGAGCAGTTGAACGGCTGTTCCTTTTGAGAATTTGTGAGATGGAGACAAACAACATGTTTCATCTTGGGGATCTTAAGAATAATGTTTGTTTTTGGCAAGGCAAGCTCATTCTTTGCCTCGACAAGCTCCAGGATCCATCACAAAGGTGCAGCGCAATGCCTCGATTCTTCAGTGCGTCGGGTCATCGCATGCGTGTTCAGATTTAGTCAGTGCTTCATAGTGCTTCAGTATTTCATGCACCAATGACACTTCTGCTACCAACAGCTGTTGTTTTTGCCGCCTTGGGCTCATTCGGGCACCCGAGCTGTCTCAAGGGTACTGAGGCTGGCTTCCCCTCTTTGTTTAAATAATTTTTGCTGTTAATTTGGTATTTTCCTCCTCAGTCCTCGTGCATTGACAGGGCTTGCGCAGCACGACTACTACTTTGCTTGTGGATTTGGAGTAAGACACCTAGCCCCGCTAAAAATTGATGTTGAGAACGCTGGGGAATCCAAGGCGCATATGTCGCAGTGGAAGGAGGACATATGGGGAATTGACCTGTCTCAGTCCCCGGCACTTTATTCGTGGATGTTCAGGACTTGGCTCGATCCCGCTCACCTGACCGCACTCTCCGGCGCCAGGCTTGGCGCCAGGCTTTCCTTTTGCTATCAATCTCAACTCTTGGGTGGGAAAAGGTTTGCAACATTGGACAGGACAAGCCGACAGACTTTGACAGCTTTTCCCCGGAAACGCGTGCCATCCTATTTGATGTTCAACATCCTCGTGGCAGGGTTTGGGACTTATTCAAAAATTTCAGAAGAATGAACTATTTCTCACCGTTGGAAAGTATATCAAGTAACAGTCATTCAATCTGGAGGGGAATATGGTGGAAATAAATGTTGGTCTTCTTACCACTTTTGAATCCTCTCAGGCTGTACCACCTGATATGAACTTCGAGGCTTGGCGGAACACTGTACTGATTCAGCTTTCTGAGGCTTCCGGCTAACGCAATCCCAGGCCAGAATCTTCGATGAGATGGACCCTTTCAAATTGACCTTCACAGGGGTTCGGCATCCCAAACAATTTCACACTCAATTTCACCTCAATAAGTGTTTCAACTTCCTTGTCTGAGGTTGACCTCATCGCCCAACGCGAGGCATACGCTGTGACAGTTCTCCGAACTGCCCCATGCTCAGCCTTAGAGCCTGCTTTTAGTAGTTTCACGATAAACTCATCAACCCCAGGTCTCCACCTGGATGCAGAGTGGTGATGCACGAGACAATCCAACCAGGGCCTTGGAACGAGCTACGCGAACTCTAAGTCAGGCTGTTGGCCAGCTAGAAAGCTCAAGCTTGAGCCTCGCAATCCTCACTGATTTGAAGGAACCCTTGCCGCAGTTTCGGGGAGCATATGATCAATTTAGTTTGAGTCTGAGTGATGGAACTGAGTTTGGAGATGTTGACTCCGGCTCCGATGGGTCTTAAATCAATCCTCACCAGCGTCGGCACATGACCAGTTGAGGGAAACGTTGCAATACAGGGACCGCATACATTGCAACATTGAAAAAGTTTAGTGCTCCGTGTGCTGCTGCTCTTCCGTGGGGCTAAGCCTAAAGCTGTGGCACTGACAATTCACTGTAGTTTGGCAGATTGGAGTTGATGTTCTTTAACTTTACAGTCTCTAGCTCTTTTGCGGTTCGCAAAGTAGCCATTGTTTTGCCTTGGGCCTGGAGAGATGGCCTTTGAAAACGTAGAAGCCCTGAGTGAGCTGGGCTCCCAGCTGTGGTGATCTGACTTTCTCCATAATCTTTGTCATCTTGACCTGCTGCGCGCTAAGTGATGACATGGCCACCCACGACACCCCGGACACTGTTGCTGATGTCTATGTCTTAATTTCTGGTGGTTTGATGTTGGGTGAGAGTTTGTTCAGCATTCCCTCCTATTGCCCCTAGGCCAAATCTCCCAAGTTTGGAATCTCCTCGAACGGAGAAGTCACGACGTGGACACCAAGCCCATGGCCTTTGCTCCCAAGAAAAAGCCATGAGATCGTCCTAGTGGCTCAGACTTCAATCTTCAGTCGTAAGAAACATGGTGTTCCAACACAGTAGTTTTGTTTTGTCTGTTCACTTCGTTCAGGAGACACCGAAGCCACTGAAAAACTGCAAGCTCCCTAAGAAAGGGAAACTCGTCGAGACAAAGTTTGTGAAGCTGGGTTCATTTGGAACCATCCGCCCGGCCCTCAAAAACAGCACCCCGCTTCGGAAGAGTTCCATCGCTCCTAGCGTCCTAGGTTGCTTCGGAGCAACAACAAAGGCATGCCAGAAGTATTTAAGTGTCAGAAACTCTGGAGACGGGGTCTCAGTATGACACATCATTAATCTCAATGGTTGAATCTTTCTAGGCTCTTGAGCTTTGAGGACTTTGGGACACAAGTCTTCTATTGGGAGAAGTACCGCGAATCATGTTCGATGATGGGTGTGCCCCGTGGCACTTACGTCACCCCGGAACTCGGGGAACACATGGCTGGCTGGGGTCTAAGAGATTGAAACCCATTAGGCTTCAAATGGAATCCAACCGGCCTGCCCAGGTGTTCCGCTCCAATGGACGAAGCCCATCAGCGGATCAGTCAAGGCTCCCGAGCTCACCATACCGTGGATGGAGAGGACTTGGCAAGAGCAGGCCATACTCCTGGAGAAATCAGTCACTATGTTCTATTCAAGTGGTTCAAGTCTAAATAGTTATTTGCCTAAGTGATTCTGATAGGGACCCGGCCGACGACATCGAGTGGCAAGCTTCTTTTCGGGTGTGCTGGGACTCGAGCTTGGCAGTTGCGAGCAAGAAGCTTAGTAATCTTAGTAGAACAACATGAAGGATTTTGTGGCAAGCTGCATGTTGATGCTTTGT